GATAAAGACTTACCTCATTAGACAGAACTAAAACACAAATTAGGAATTATCTTTATTAAGAAAGAAATGACTTTGAATTCAATGTGGGCTAACTTAATAGCCAAAGGAATTTTGTAGGCCTAAGTTAATGAAAAGTCTATAGAAAGCTTTATGGTGCGTAGCAACAACTTACAAGCCATTGAGGTCATCACTACATGTCATGTGTATAATCGAAGAGTTCTCTTGCCTGCGAAGGAAGATTTTACCACCTCTGACCCAAAGAAACTTGTAGTCCTTATCCTTTCTCACCTGCCTCGCTGCCGCCAGTAGCCTCCTCCTCTCCGGTGTCAGAGCTTCATTTATGTAGATGGGTCGGTCATCGTCCAGGTTCATGTTTCTAGTCGAGAGAGTCCTCTTTACGCGACGCTTCCTCATGAATTCCTCTTTGTCAAGACGCCTCACGAACTTGACGATTATACCTGGTGGATTCCCGTTTCTCCCGTTTCCTCTGCCTAGCCGGTGACACGCATCAATCATAGAATCTGATACCTCCATGTCCATTGCCTTCCCCACTTCTTTAACTATACCGACGACATCTTCATTTGGTTGTAGAGGAATTCCTTGAATCTCCACAGCATTAGCTCTTGAGTACTGTTCCATCTCTTCAAGTTTACGCTCCAGATCAGTTAGTTTCTTAGTCAATTGTTTGTTTTCACTTACCAGGTCATTTATAGTCTTCAAACAATTCTCAATTGACAGGTTTTGCTCTTTAATAAGTTTACAATTTTCTGCCAATTGTTCACTAAGACTTTCATGTGATTTATTGAAGTTTGACTCCTGACTTCTTTGAAGTTCAAACATTTCATTGATTTTCCTCATGATATCATCTAATGTAAGCTTACCTTCCTGTAGTTCAGCCTCAAAACGTAAACTTTTCCTTCAGTTTTCTCCGCAAGGCGGACATCTCCACACTAGATTATCACCCTTAATACACTCTACGTCTGCCTTACTCATTTTTAGGCAGTTTCCGTGAAACGCACTTTCACATTCATTACAAGATAATTGAATCTGAGAGGACTTGACTGTTTTAGAGCACACCCCGCACAAAGCCATTTTTAAAATTGCAAAACAGTTCTTATAAAAGTATTTTCGACAGCTATAGTAGTTACAATGTGCACACCACTTTTCACTAACCTCAAAACCAGCACAGTTCAATACATGGAATTAAACAAGTAGAGATAAGACCGCAGCACTATCAGTAAACCGACCGTCCTTTCTGAGCGCTGACTCATAACTGAAACAAACTATTCTATTACTTATCTTATTTAGTTGTTCTAATTTAGAATAATGTGTCCTTAAAGTCTTGACAACTTTTGAGTTCGTAGAATTGATGGGATTATACATGTTTTATATATGTTGTTTAACAGCTGATTTTATCAAGTTTTGTTTGTATATGTTGGTAACATTTTTCATTGTTGAGTGTGATACCAAACAAAAGTTACAATTCTTGTGTCTGTCGTAAAAATGGCTACTAAGGAAGAAAAAGCTCAATGTGTTTTGTAACTTCACGAGTCTAATTCACCTGTTTACGTTCAAAGATGGATGAGATTGCTCTATGGGGGGGCGATTAAGCACCTTTGGAGCTTCTCCAAGCTATAGATAAATTATTCGTTGGTTTAATAACTTCAAGAACAATGGAAGTGTTGCGGACCTGCCGCGTTTAGGTAGGCCTAAAATTTTAGAAGAAACCGTCGATGTCGTTAGACAATGCTTCACCCGCAGTCCACGTACATCAGTTCGCAAAGCTTCCAGGGAACTTGGTTTACCACGTACCACTGTACATAAGATTTTGCGTAAAAAACTCAAACTAAGCGCATACAATATTCAACTAGTGCAGTTTTTGAAACCGAATGATTACCCTTACCAAGCTTCTTTTGCTAATGAAATTTTAGATCTCATTCATGTAGATAACAACTATCTTAGACATCACACCTTTAGACTTCTTCTTTTGGGGCTTTGTGAAAGACAAGGTTTATGCTACATCTGTCTCAGAAGTGGCATTGAAGACCAGGATCAGAGAAACAATTTCAACAATCACTGGAGAGATGTTGGCAAGTACTTGGGAGGAGATTGAATTTAGACTGGAAATTCTCCGGGACACAAATGGGTCACATGTGGAAGTGTACTAATGTTATATGAATTGCATATAAAACTTTTTTTCAGGCTCTTTCTAAAAAATTAAGTGTCACTTTTGTATGTCTAATGGTTTTCATTTTGTTACACAACAAAATGTTGTCAGGACTTTATGGACACCAGGTATATGCGGAAAGTAAATAAAAGAAACGTCTTATAACACTTAAAACATATATTTACGCTTATACTGTTACTCACAAGACGGTAAATATACAAAAAAGATGGTAAGTGGTGATCGATTTCGATTGGACACTCCTATTGGGTCTTGTGATGATTGGAGTGTCCAATCGAAATCGATCACCACTTACCATCTTTTTGGTATATTTACCGTCTTGTGAGTAACAGTATAAGCGTAAATATATGTTTTAAGTATTATAAGACGTTTCTTTTATTTACTTTCCGTAAATTTAATAACAGGTACAATGCTGATCAAGAAGTTATTTAACCAGGTATATCCATAAACAAGCAAACTTCTACAGTTTATTTATTCGCCATAAGAATAACATGGGAGTTTTAAATTTAATTTTTTTTTAACTATCACCCTAACTGTTGGACATACAACAACTCTTCAATAAACAATATTATTTATTTTTTAAGCTCTACAAAATGGTTTGGAGAGAAATTATGAAATGTTGTGTTTTTAAAGTTAAAAATGGGAAAAATCAATTTTTACCCCATAAAACCCCCCATTAACCCCCGTTGTTTATGGGGGTTTTATGGGGTTAAAGATTTCTCTCCAAACCATTTCGTAGAGCTTAAAAAAGGAAATAATATTGTATATTGAAGAGTTGTTGTATGCCCAACGGTTACGGAGATAATTTCTGATTATGCTGGTTGGCGAACTCGTTTGAATAAATCTAGGTTTACACGTTTGTACCAAATTTCATCAAAATCGGATAATTTTTGCTCGAGTTACCGCGCTAACGGACACATATATATATATATATATATATATATATATATGAATTTGAACGGATGGTGTTTTTGGCCTCTGGGGAGCTTGAAACGTAAAAGTAAATCGGTTCCGGATCTAGGTCTTATCATGAGACCTGCGGTAATAGCTTATTCCCTATATGGGAAATTTGCTAAAATTTAAATGCACTGGTTTTTTTGCCCTGTTCACATGTTAAATTGCCAAATCAGGTCATTCATAATTTACTAGAGGTTGTCCAGTGGTCGAAACTCGACCAAAAATATGCAATGTACAGACTTCTCTATATTCACACCACACTGTGAATAAAACATGTGATTGGAGTTTCTTCCATTTGTTTTTATTTTCTGTTTATATTTCGTTGTTTTTTCATCACCCCCCATAGTAGCAACCCATAAAATCCATGTTAATTTTTTCAAAATTTTAAATTCATTTTCTGTGCTTATTTGAGCCTATTTTAATTTATATAGGCATTCTGCACATCTACAGGAAAATATCTTTCCAACAGTATGCGTAGATTTTCCCTGCCATGCACACAAGCTGAGAAAAAAGGTTTTAAAGAAACATGCTTGCCTATCTATATATACTAGCTGACCCGGCGAACTTCGTATCGCCTAAGTTATAGGTTTCCCCTAAGACAGACCGATGGAAAGTAAGTACCGTTACGTTTACTTTTCAAGATGATCTCGTTCGCATCGCTCAATCACGTCCTGGTTGAAGTTCGTTCGCTACGCTCACTCACCTTTTGGTTGCAAATTAGCTGTTGTCATAAATGTAAAAGAAATAATAGTGCTGCACCCTGTTGGTAATCCTTGTAACTTTAATGCTATTGAACATCATAGAACAGAACCAACTTGTTTAATTGAAACAGCTGTTAAGATTCATTAATTCCATTTCTCATAAGGTTAACATGGGAAACTCCAGAGCCACTGGGGCGGAGCCCTTTTAAGAATTTCGAAACGGGAAATAGTTTACGTCCGATTCGCATACCTACAGAATTTACACACCAAATTTCATAACGATCGGTGAAGTCGTTTCGGAGGAGTTTGCAGACAAACACTGTGACACGAGAATTTTATATATTAGATAAAAGGCAAAGCCCTCACTGACTGACTGACTGACTCACTCACTCACTCACTCACTCATCACTAATTCTCCCACTTCCCATTTACCTAGGAGGCTGAAATTTGGTACACTGATTCTTTAGGCATTAAATAGGAAAACTAAGTTGTTTTTATTCTGATCGGACTCTCGGGCTCCGCCCCACTGGCTCTGGAGTTTCCCATGTTAACCTTATGAGTACTTCTATTTAATGGAATTAATGAATCTTAACAGCTGTTTCAATTAAACAAGTTGGTTCTGTTCTATGATGTGCAATAGCATTAAAGTTATAAGGATTACCAACAAGGTGCAGCACTATTATTTTTTTTTTTATTTATGACAACAGCTTATTTGCAACCAAAAGGTGAGTGAGCGTTTTTTGAACGAACTTCAACCTGTAGGCGAGTTAGCGTAGTGAACGAGCTAACTTGAAGGCAAGTGAGCGCAGCGAACGAGCTCCAACCTAAAGGTGAGTGAGCGTAGCGAACGAACTTCAACCTGGAGGCGAGTTAGCGTAGCGAACGAGCTAACTTGAAGGCAAGTGAGCGCAGCGAACGAGCTCCAACCTAAAGGTGAGTGAGCGTAGCGAACGAACTTCAACCAGGACGTGATTGAGCCATGCGAACGAGCTCACTTATGAAGTAAAACGGGGCAAAGCCCGCGGGTACAGCTAGTTAATATATAGATACTCATAATTCAGGAATAGATAGCCCTTAGAACTTGGATTTGTGGCATTTAATTTAACTATCATAGACTACTCGTCACAAGATTTGTAATGTTGGGTTGAATTTTTCAGTGTGTTGTGCAGTCATACTTGAGATGGCTGCAGGACAGTGATTATAGCCCAACATGCGTTTTGTGTTCCAAGGACTTGATTATTGATGACTGTGTTCGGCTTACCTGTTATCGTAAGTTATTTATTTATGTTACAGTTTTAAATCATTGCTTGTCTATTGGGCAACAATTTTAGACGTTGCCATCTGTGAGGTACAACAGTTATTTGAGAACACCAACTGTCTGTTATTTTGTAATATAAAAATGGTTTATGTTACCTTTTTGCGTCAAAAAATCCGTGTGTAGTTAGTACAACTACAGCTGTTTCATGCCACTAGGGCACATCTTCAGGTTGTCGGTAGAACGTTGATAAAAAAGCAATCATTCATAGATGAATTTGTAGACGCAACATCAACCGGCGCCTGTCTCGTGTGTTCTTCACTTGGCCAAGTTTATAAATTTGTGTATTTTAATTTGTGTATTTTGTGTATAGTAGAGTCCCGCAAACTCGGCGTAATGTGGACTGGAAGGTTGCCGAGTTTGTGTAATGCCGGGTTATCAGAAACTAGGGTTAAAAATAAGAACAATACAGTTTTTAAGCTTTTTAACCGCCTTTTTTATTTATATTTATATTACAAGTCAGTATTAAGTCATCAGATATAGTACAACAAATCCTTGGTATGAGTTTTGAATGATTTGACTTTAGCTGACTTCAGTCCATGTTTTACTCGGACTAAAAAAATCACTAAATTTCTGGGCCAGGTGATGGCCGAATTATCCAGACTGCCAGGTTATTGAGTGCTGAGTTTGCGGGACTCTACTGTATGGACATATTTATCTTGACAAATTCATCTATGAATGAATGCTTTTTTGCCTAACGTCCTACCGACAACCTGAAGATGTGCCCTAGTGGCATGAAACAGCTGTAGTTGCACTAACTACACACAAATCGTTTGACACAAAAAGGTAACATAAACCATTTTTATATTGCAATTTACAATCCAGAGGCTTACCCACAATGTTATTTTGTATTTGTTTCTTTAATATAATAAAATTGTGTGTACACACTTAAGTGTTTCCTTGTGATAGGGCTTTAAAATTATAAAATTATAAATTGACTGTACAGATGTGTTCTACTAGTGAGTACTACGACTATCCGCAGTACTATCCTGATAATTAGACCAATTCGTAAATTACAAGGAAAAAATGTGGTTCGGATTCCACTATAAACTGTAGGTCCCTTAGTTGCCATTAGCTGTATGGGCTATTAATTAACAGCTGTGTCTAAGGAACATGTCGGCCTTAGTCACTAACAAGGCTACAAGATCGCGCCACTCATCCTACACTCATCCTTCACTCATATTTGGGTTAAAATACGCACATAGTGGCGTCCCCATCTTAACTAATTGATAATTGATAATACTGGGTATGCCTGGACCAGTTCGCTCGCAGGATGCCCCTCACACAGCCCCTGCAAGGTTCACATCTACAGTCCATCATGTAAGGTTTGCATTGTCTGTACAGATGTGTTCCACTGGGTATGCCTGGACCAGTTTGCTCGCAGGATGCCCCCCACCACGGCCCCTGCAAGGTTCACATCTACAGTCCATCATGTAAGGATTGCATTGTCTGTACAGATGTGTTCCACTGGGTATGCCTGGACCAGTTTGCTCGCAGGATGCCCCCCACCACGGCCCCTGCAAGGTTCACATCTACAGTCCATCATGTAAGGTTTGCATTGTCTGTACAGATGTGTTCCACTGGGTATGCCTGGACCAGTTTGCTCGCAGGATGCCCCTCACACAGCCCCTGCAAGGTTCACATCTACAGTCCATCATGTAAGGTTTGCATTGTCTGTACAGATGTGTTCCACTGGGTATGCCTGGACCAGTTTGCTCGCAGGATGCCCCTCACACAGCCCCTGCAAGGTTCACATCTACAGTCCATCATGTAAGGTTTGCATTGTCTGTACAGATGTGTTCCACTGGGTATGCCTGGACCAGTTTGCTCGCAGGATGCCCCTCACACAGCCCCTGCAAGGTTCACATCTACAGTCCATCATGTAAGGTTTGCATTGTCTGTACAGATGTGTTCCACTGGGTATGCCTGGACCAGTTTGCTCGCAGGATGCCCCTCACACAGCCCCTGCAAGGTTCACATCTACAGTCCATCATGTAAGGTTTGCATTGTCTGTACAGATGTGTTCCACTGGGTATGCCTGGACCAGTTTGCTCGCAGGATGCCCCTCACACAGCCCCTGCAAGGTTCACATCTACAGTCCATCATGTAAGGTTTGCATTGTCTGTACAGATGTGTTCCACTGGGTATGCCTGGACCAGTTTGCTCGCAGGATGCCCCCCACCACGGCCCCTGCAGGCTTTACATGTCCGTCGTGTAAGGTTTGCATTGTCTGTACAGATGTGTTCCACTGGGTATGCCTGGACCAGTTTGCTCGCAGGATGCCCCTCACACAGCCCCTGCAAGGTTCACATCTACAGTCCATCATGTAAGGTTCTGGGTATGCCTGGACCAGTTTGCTCGCAGGATGCCCCTCACACAGCCCCTGCAAGGTTCACATCTACAGTCCATCATGTAAGGTTTGCATTGTCTGTACAGATGTGTTCCACTGGGTATGCCTGGACCAGTTTGCTCGCAGGATGTCCCTCACACAGCCCCTGCAAGGTTCACATCTACAGTCCATCATGTAAGGTTTGCATTGTCTGTACAGATGTGTTCCACTGGGTATGCCTGGACCAGTTTGCTCGCAGGATGCCCCTCACACAGCCCCTGCAAGGTTCACATCTACAGTCCATCATGTAAGGTTTGCATTGTCTGTACAGATGTGTTCCACTGGGTATGCCTGGACCAGTTTGCTCGCAGGATGCCCCTCACACAGCCCCTGCAAGGTTCACATCTACAGTCCATCATGTAAGGTTTGCATTGTCTGTACAGATGTGTTCCACTGGGTATGCCTGGACCAGTTTGCTCGCAGGATGCCCCTCACACAGCCCCTGCAAGGTTCACATCTACAGTCCATCATGTAAGGTTTGCATTGTCTGTACAGATGTGTTCCACTGGGTATGCCTGGACCAGTTTGCTCGCAGGATGCCCCTCACACAGCCCCTGCAAGGTTCACATCTACAGTCCATCATGTAAGGTTTGCATTGTCTGTACAGATGTGTTCCACTGGGTATGCCTGGACCAGTTTGCTCGCAGGATGCCCCTCACACAGCCCCTGCAAGGTTCACATCTACAGTCCATCATGTAAGGTTTGCATTGTCTGTACAGATGTGTTCCACTGGGTATGCCTGGACCAGTTTGCTCGCAGGATGCCCCTCACACAGCCCCTGCAAGGTTCACATCTACAGTCCATCATGTAAGGTTTGCATTGTCTGTACAGATGTGTTCCACTGGGTATGCCTGGACCAGTTTGCTCGCAGGATGCCCCCCACCACGGCCCCTGCAAGGTTCACATCTACAGTCCATCATGTAAGGTTTGCATTGTCTGTACAGATGTGTTCCACTGGGTATGCCTGGACCAGTTTGCTCGCAGGATGCCCCCCACCACGGCCCCTGCAAGGTTCACATCTACAGTCCATCATGTAAGGTTTGCATTGTCTGTACAGATGTGTTCCACTGGGTATGCCTGGACCAGTTTGCTCGCAGGATGCCCCCCACCACGGCCCCTGCAAGGTTCACATCTACAGTCCATCATGTAAGGTTTGCATTGTCTGTACAGATGTGTTCCACTGGGTATGCCTGGACCAGTTTGCTCGCAGGATGCCCCCCACCACGGCCCCTGCAAGGTTCACATCTACAGTCCATCATGTAAGGTTTGCATTGTCTGTACAGATGTGTTCCACTGGGTATGCCTGGACCAGTTTGCTCGCAGGATGCCCCCCACCACGGCCCCTGCAAGGTTCACATCTACAGTCCATCATGTAAGGTTTGCATTGTCTGTACAGATGTGTTCCACTGGGTATGCCTGGACCAGTTTGCTCGCAGGATGCCCCCCACCACGGCCCCTGCAAGGTTCACATCTACAGTCCATCATGTAAGGTTTGCATTGTCTGTACAGATGTGTTCCACTGGGTATGCCTGGACCAGTTTGCTCGCAGGATGCCCCCCACCACGGCCCCTGCAAGGTTCACATCTACAGTCCATCATGTAAGGTTTGCATTGTCTGTACAGATGTGTTCCACTGGGTATGCCTGGACCAGTTTGCTCGCAGGATGCCCCTCACACAGCCCCTGCAAGGTTCACATCTACAGTCCATCATGTAAGGTTTGCATTGTCTGTACAGATGTGTTCCACTGGGTATGCCTGGACCAGTTTGCTCGCAGGATGCCCCCCACCACGGCCCCTGCAAGGTTCACATCTACAGTCCATCATGTAAGGTTTGCATTGTCTGTACAGATGTGTTCCACTGGGTATGCCTGGACCAGTTTGCTCGCAGGATGCCCCCCACCACGGCCCCTGCAAGGTTCACATCTACAGTCCATCATGTAAGGTTTGCATTGTCTGTACAGATGTGTTCCACTGGGTATGCCTGGACCAGTTTGCTCGCAGGATGCCCCCCACCACGGCCCCTGCAAGGTTCACATCTACAGTCCATCATGTAAGGTTTGCATTGTCTGTACAGATGTGTTCCACTGGGTATGCCTGGACCAGTTTGCTCGCAGGATGCCCCCCACCACGGCCCCTGCAAGGTTCACATCTACAGTCCATCATGTAAGGTTTGCATTGTCTGTACAGATGTGTTCCACTGGGTATGCCTGGACCAGTTTGCTCGCAGGATGCCCCTCACACAGCCCCTGCAAGGTTCACATCTACAGTCCATCATGTAAGGTTTGCATTGTCTGTACAGATGTGTTCCACTGGGTATGCCTGGACCAGTTTGCTCGCAGGATGCCCCTCACACAGCCCCTGCAAGGTTCACATCTACAGTCCATCATGTAAGGTTTGCATTGTCTGTACAGATGTGTTCCACTGGGTATGCCTGGACCAGTTTGCTCGCAGGATGCCCCTCACACAGCCCCTGCAAGGTTCACATCTACAGTCCATCATGTAAGGTTTGCATTGTCTGTACAGATGTGTTCCACTGGGTATGCCTGGACCAGTTTGCTCGCAGGATGCCCCCCACCACGGCCCCTGCAAGGTTCACATCTACAGTCCATCATGTAAGGTTTGCATTGTCTGTACAGATGTGTTCCACTGGGTATGCCTGGACCAGTTTGCTCGCAGGATGCCCCCCACCACGGCCCCTGCAAGGTTCACATCTACAGTCCATCATGTAAGGTTTGCATTGTCTGTACAGATGTGTTCCACTGGGTATGCCTGGACCAGTTTGCTCGCAGGATGCCCCCCACCACGGCCCCTGCAAGGTTCACATCTACAGTCCATCATGTAAGGTTTGCATTGTCTGTACAGATGTGTTCCACTGGGTATGCCTGGACCAGTTTGCTCGCAGGATGCCCCCCACCACGGCCCCTGCAGGCTTTACATGTCCGTCGTGTAAGGTTTGCATCTTCCCTCCAACCAACCTTGTGTCACAAGTGGCTGATGTGCTCAGGGAGAAGCTCGCTGGAGTCAACTGGGCTAGAGTTGGACTTGGTTTACCCATGGTAACGCTTACTTGTTTTAGTTGTAAGTTTCAGACAACTTCTGCTTTTGTTATTATTTTGTATTGATCCCTGAACCATTAGAGTTTTAGTTTTATTGCGTCCCAGAGTCTATTTCACAGGTACTGCTTTACTTAGAAATACATTAGGACTATAACTGTCCATTAGCATATCAACCATAGTAGGCCTATACTAAATTCCTGCAAAGTATTTTGATTTAATATTATTTATTGACATTATAAATCCAGTCTTTTGAATAAACATTAAAAATATATAATAACAATTTTATACAGGATAGATTATTTTGTTTGTTGAAGTATCTGCCTCTGTTAATACAGGACAAACGATGTAAAGATCTGCTGTTCTAACCTATTTAGTTAAAGCCATGGCTATACATAGTCCTTCAGCTGACTACACTTTAGTGTGCAAACTTGCATATACTTAATATTCTTACATGACCTTTTAGTTTAATGTCTCGTTTAAAAAACCTGGGTGTTTACCTCCTACCCCCACGTTTTTTGTTTGAAAGATCACTTTACACGCTATCTTTATTCAATTTACACATTAGTTGTATGTTTAGTACAGTTTTGGTAATTTTGCAAAAACCAGTTATTTTAAATATTTTTGTGTTATTATAAAGATAGCATGTAAAGTTATCTTTCAAACAAAAAAGTTTATCCCGATCTGACAAATAATATGCGAAATACATACTTTAAAAAAAATCCTTTGCCGCCATATTGATGACATCATATCAGGAAAACGTGGGGGAAGGAGGTAAACACTCAGGGTTTTTAAACTCAATATACCTTAAACTAAAAGGTTATGCAAGAATATTTAGTATACGCAAGTTTGCACACTAAGTGATGTCAGCTGCTGGACTAACTGATGCTTGGTAAAATTTTGTTAAATGTCATCGGTGTGTGTTTTTTTAAGTCAAGGTTCATAGCTATTAATTTTTTAGCTTGGCCGTATGGGAGCTATTAAAAAAATAGAAATCATTTTGGAATAAAATTAAAAGTTTTTACAAGACAAATCAATTTACTATACACGTTTGAAAAAAAAACCAACTAAAATACAATTTAAACAACTAAAATACAATTTTCTACTTAGTCACCACACAAATTGAGGTATTTATTTATCATAGCGGTAAACATACTTTAAAATTCCTTTGTCATAGAAACCCATCACCTACAAATTAGCCACTCAGTGACACACAATTGGATCTCCTCGTCGTCCTCAAAGTACCTTGCTGCCAACCAACCTTAATTTAGGGAAACAAGTTTAGTAGAAGTCACTCGGAGCAGCGTCTGGACTGTCGGAGTGTAGGGTGGTAAAGGGAAAATCTGTCATTGTAATGTATGAAGGAGCTCTTATGTGCAATTTGCTCTGTTAGGTTGGGCATTGCAATTAAAAACTCAAATTATTGATTTAAATTTAAGTTTAGCCATTTTAAAATTTAATATACCATTTCTGAACAGAACTTTCATTATTACGATGTATTTTGTAAACTTCACTCACTTGATGAAAAATTTCTTTAGGTTTTAGTTTATGGCCTGCAAAAACTATATAGACTGCACACTACAACTAGCTGGACTTAGTTGGTCTTTTTAATTGCAACACACTCTTTCAACTTAAATATTACAACAACAGGCAGCCCAACAACACCTCTACTGTGACGGCTAGACAACCTTTGAGGTGGCAAACTCATTTGTACTAGAAGTTTTGTAATCAGCATTCGTCTATTGGGTGTCAGACAAAAATATTCCTCACTTGCTGAATAGCTCCCTTATTGCACCGTAAAAGTAAGTTGATTGTAGAATTATTTCTGTCATTGAGTCAGCATAAGTTCCGGAAAACCGGCTTAATATAACCGATTTTTGCAGTTGAGT